TTGTTGCAGCAGAAGGATGGATCCTGTTTTCAAATCATTCTGTTAATCTGTGTCTTTTTATTGGGGAATTGGGACCATTGGTTTTGAAAGATATCAATGACCAATGATTGTTGGTTCCTGTTATTTTGTTGTTGTTGTTGATGGTGATGGTGGTGGTGGTGGTGGTGGTGGTGGTGGTGGTGGTGGTGGTGGGTGAGTGATATCATGGAATATCTTTATTTTTTCCATCTATTCAGATTGAAAGTTTTGCTGGGTATGGAAGTCTGGGCTGGTATTTGTGGTCTCTTAAAGTCTTCAGGACATCTTTCTAGGCCCTTCTGGCTTTTAGAGTCTCAATCTCAATGAAGATTGAGAAGTCAGGTGTAGTGTAAATTGATCTGGCTTTATATGTTACTTGTCTTTTTCCCTTGCAGGTGTTAATATTCTTCCTTTGTTCTATATGTTTATGGTTTTGATTCTTATGTAGTGAGGGAACTTTCTTTTCTGTTCCATTCTATGTGGTGTTCTGTATGCATTTTGCACCTTTATAAACATTTCCTTCTTTAGGTTAGGAAATTTTTCTTCTATGATTTTATTGAAAATATTTTCTGGGCCTTTGAGCTGTGATTCTTCTTCTTCCTCTATTCCTATTCTTAAGTTTGGAATAGACTATTCATAGTGTCCCAGCTTTCCTGGATGTTCTGTGTCAGGATTTGTTTTTTGTTTCTTGTTTTTTAGATTTATTTTTTCTTTGACTAATGTATCCATTTCTTCTATAGTATCTTCAATGCCTGAGATTCTCTCTTCTATCTCTTTTATTCTGTTGTCGAAACTTGCCTCTGTGGTTCTTCTTCAAATTCCTAAAGTTTCCTTTCCAGAATTCTGTCAATTTGTGTTTTCTTTATTGCTTCTATTTCCATTTTCAGGTCTTGAAAAATTTTGTTCATTTCCTTCAACTGTTTGTTTTTTTCCGTCTTTCTTTGAGAGATTTATTCACTTCCTCCAGTTATTTGTTTTTTGTGTTTTCCTGAATTTCTTTAAAGGATTTATTAATTTCCTCTTTAAGCACCTCTATCATCTTCTTGTGCTTCAGCTGCATTGGAATATTCAGGGCCTGCTGTGATAGGAGAGCTGGGCTCTGGACATATTGGCTGGCTTTTATTGATTGGGTCCTCACACTGGTGTGTGTTGAGGCATCTGGGAATGGGGTGATTATAGGTCTAGGTGCTTATTTCTGGGTTTGTTTTTGTTGGGTGAGTGTTTTGTTCTGTGGTTTATGTTTCCTGTCTGGATTTTAAGAAGAATGTGTTTCCAGTTTTACTGCCCTGCTAGTCTGGTGTGTTCACAGGGAATGTCTGCTGGTGTTGGAGACTGGGATGCAAGGATGAGTGGGGGAAGGGAAGTCAGGAGGGGGTGGAAGGCTGCAGCTGGTTTTCTGTTGCAATGCTAGGAACGACCCTGAAGATTGGATTTGGAGGAGTGAACAGCTACTTTAATTGTTTTTTGTTTGTCTTGCAGTTCTGGAGGGGTGTGTTGTTGTTGTTGTTTTTCATTAATGGAAGGCTCTGAATAGCATTGGACTTGGCATGAGAGAGGCATAATCAGCAGTACTCAAGGTTTCAAAGTGTACCGTTCAAAAGACTGTCTCTTGTTATAACACCAAAGATGGAGACTATAGATAGAAATACGGATAAATTTGGCTACATAAAGAAATATTTCAATGTGGAGGAAATTATTAAAACTTAAAAGTTTGTCAAAAAACAGGAAAAATATTTGTATCAGGTAGCATTGAAAGAAGTTTGTTTTCTTAAAAAGAGAATCAATGTCTTACATGTCTTTAAAGAGAAGATAAACGTTATAGGGAAAACAGGCTCAAATAAAAAATATTGACTCTAGGGGTTGTCAAGCAGTTAAGATAGTTGCTCTTGTAGAGAACCTGAGTTTGCTTCCCAGCACCCATGACTGGCAGCTCACAACCACCTGTAACTCCAACTCCAGTGGGTCTGCTGCCTTCTTCTGGCCTCTGTGGGCATCTGCACACAACATGCACATACATATATAAACGTAGTCAAAAATAAGTCTTTAAAATATTTACGTTCACTAGAAATCAGATAGATAGATAGATAGATAGATAGATAGATAGATAGATAGATAGATAGATAGATCGCAATGGACAAGATCTGGTTTTCTTCAAATAATCTGACTTACAAAAGCATGATTTCCCACTACTGAGATTACAGATTCCTTGTACAAAGATTTGAGAATTGTCTCCTTGCTAGAAAGTCAATTCATCTGGTGTGCCCGACTCAGTGATTCACAGTAAATTACAGAGCTGCCCAGTCATTCCCATTATCCAGTTTCAGAGCTCAAACAGACAACCTTAAATAAAATGTGATGACCTACCATCATTGGACCGCTGCTCTTTCTTGTTATAGTTGCCTTTTCTGGATATTTCACATAAAAGAATCTGTATAGTGTTTAGTGTTGTGTTTCTGGTTTGTTTTGTATTTTTGAGGTCCATGTATGTGGTAGCATGTGTCAGGATTTGATTGTGTTATCGTTTAGCAATACTCTATTGTATGAGTTCGTTGCTGTCTTCCTCATCTTTTCAAAAGTTGAAAAGTATTAGGTTTCAACTTTTGTCTCCTACAGATAATTCTGCATGTACTTGTACATGTCATTGTGTGGATACATAATTTTTAAGTTATCTTGGCAATAATTCAAAGAATAGAAATGGTGAGTGGTTTCAAAATTTATATTTAATATTTTAAGAAACTTCCAGGTTGTCTTCTAAATGGAGAGAGGGTTACTTTCTGCTCAGACTTCGCACTGTGGGATGTTTACTTACAGTCTAATGAACTTTAGTTTACAGTTTTTTAGCCAGAGATGATGAGCATCTTTTTATATGTTAAGTGTGTGTGTGTGTGTGTGCATATGTGTGTTTGTATACATGTGTGTTGTAGTGCTGCAGATCAAAACCAGGCCCTTGTACATGTTAGTACTCTACTTCTGAGCAGTAATGCCTATTCAGATATTTTTTATCCATTATTAAATTAGGTTGTGACTTAGTATGCTTTTTATTGCTGTTATAAAATACCATGACCAAAAGCAACTTTGGGGGAGGTTATTTGGCTTACAGATCACAGTCCTTTATGAGGGGAAGGCAGGGCAGGAACTCAAGGCAGGGATTGAAGCTGAGACCACTGTTTACTGGCTTGCTTCCCACAGCTTGCTCAACTTGCCTGTTTAGCCATCCCAAGACTACCTGCCCAGGTGTTGTACCACTGACAGCGGGCTGTGCTATCCCACATCAGTTATTAATCAATACCCTACCCCACAGAATTGCCTATAGAACAGTATTAGAGAGACAACTTCTCACTTAAGGGTTCTTCTTCCCATATAGCCCTAGCTTGTGTCAGGTGACAGAAAGGGAAAAAAAGGCAGCACAGGTGTTTGTCATTGTAAGACTTTTACGAATGCTTCATGAATTCAAAATGTAAGCTCTTTAGCAGGTATGTGATTCTTAGACATTTGCTACCAACTTAGGTTGTAAGGCTTGATAGCAGATGCCCTTCCTCCTGAGCTGTCTTACTAACCCTGCCCTCTTACTTTTAAAAGGTTGTTGTCTATCACCATCTATCTCGGTCAACACATTAGTTGATTGATTATGCTTTTAAATTAACTTGATTTTGTAATACTTCTTATTTTACTGAGCCATGAAATCTCTTATTTCCCTATAGCACCTAACAGACGTGCTGTACGTGTTTCTTAAACAAGTGGGTCGATTAATTATTTTTAAAGGAGGAAAGTAGTTATCAATTATTTCAGGACATCTAATATGATGCTTGTGTTCGTTGCTTACTGGCCAGATGATTTGGTGCAGTTTACCTACCCCCTCCTTAGCATCTTTACCATGGTCACTTTCTAGGACTGTTTCCACATGTGTAAGGCCAGGTTGGTGGTATGTTCTACCTCACTGGGAATTCATGGGGGTGATCAGAATACATAGTGTGGTCCTGGCATGAGCAGAATAACCATCCTGAGGCAGTCAGAGTACTTAGTCTGGTGCTGGCATGGGTATAAGAGTCAAACATGGGCATCACTAAGATGATGAAATCTTTAATTATTAAGAGAATCGTAATGAAACAGTGGGCTTGTTGTTGACCTCAGGCTTCCGGATTTTGACAGCTGTAGTAGACAGGGAGCAAGCAGTTCTCACAGTAGCCAACTGATGAGCTGCAGTTAGGGGTGGATGTTCAGTAACCAAATCACACATGTATTGTTCCAGTAACATAAGCTTTAATCGCAGACACTCTCCTCTGCTTGATTTTTCTCGCAGAGGAGAATTTCAAAATATATCTCTATATAATATTAAAGTTCCCTTAGCAAATCAGGTAGATAACCTCCTCCCCTCTATATTTTTCCCCTAAAATGCTATGTTTGTTGACACAAAAGTTAAATATATTCCACTTTCCTGTAGGGTGCAATTTGGCAATGGCGTCTGAAATAAATGCCATTGACAGCGTCTGCTTTCACAGTACCTAGTTTGTTGAAATATGATGTTGCTCTCCTGAGTAATTTAAAAATCAGTGTTGAAGATAAACCAAATCAAAATGTTGAATTCTTTTTTTTTTCCACTAGCAACTTATTTATTGCACATTTCACTGTCTTGGAAGAACTCAGTCAAATCCCACTGTAGTTGCTGGTGAAGGTATTTACTGAGTCCTGTCCTCTTACATCTTACAAGTGTGCTCAGGAGTAGCCTTGTAGGTGTGCCCAAGGGAAACACACACTTGGCCACACATACAGCAAGTGACACATACATTCAGAAGTAGGGAAATGGGGAAAATGGAATTGATATCATAATTAACATGGGCATATATATTATTGTTCAGATTTAAGTAACTACCATTATTGAATGCCTGCTGTACCAGATTTGAGCTGTGTGTTTCCTGCTCTCTGGGCTCTTTAGTTACGTGAAGCTGTGTTATGAGAAATAAATGAATAGAGGATGTGCTGTATGCAGTTTTATGAACAACACATGTTTACTGTGAGTGTGACATTCCCAGGACTTCACATTGTTTTATCAACTTAATCCTCCCAACCACCCAATCAGGTCCACTCATCTTCATTTAACACAGTGAAGCACCAGACATGGACACTTCCCCAAGGCCCTTGTAAGCTTCAACTTCACTTCTCGAGGCTCCAGAGCCGGTGAACCTCCAGAGCCTGTGAACTCAACCACAAGAAGGGAATATTGGGACTCAGTGAGTTAAGGATCACTCCTCTAGGTCACACAGCTAGAAAGTTAGAAGGCCAACATTCTAACCCACAATTCTTTTTTTTTTCTTTTAACCACTATACAATCAAATTTCTCACATCCATTTATTTCTAAAAAGTTTGACTTTTAAAATTTAAACTTAAGGTGCCTAAGGAATGAAATAAGTTATATAAATAAGTTATTGCTCTTTTATTTGAACTATTAGCTTTAGTGAAATACAGGATGTTGCCATCATCTCTAGGCATGCACATGCACACGCATGCACGCACACACACACACACTTGCGCGAGCACACACACATACAACTCTCCCACTAGAGTATTGATTTCTTTAAGGCTCTTTATATTTTCTCATATTCTACAACAAAACATTCAGTTTTGCATGTTCAAGATACAGTGTTTGCTCCTTAATTTGTTATATGTAGTATTAGAAGTATTCCTCTATGGCTAGAAACATGAAAATACACTTGATTATTAGGCATCAGAGTCAGAAATTACAGTGTAAATATTAAACCACCATTACATAGATGTTGGATTTCGAAAATGGAAAGGTATTTTTGTGTTAAGAATGCATCAAATAAGAACAAAGTCGGTTAATCTCTAAAAATCTGTTATATGTAGATCTGGATGGATTTTTATTCTAGTTTTCTGGATTACCGTTGCATTAATAACAAACATAAATTTAAAAATGGACAAAATAATATTGCTTTCAATTCATGTTATTATTTGACCCTTCCTACAAAGAAATACATACTTTATACTGAATGTTGTTTGTTTTTTATATTTTTTGTCTTTCCTTTTGAAGTGTAAGTTGTACTTAAAAAAAAAAACACTATTCTTGTTATTGTGGGTATATGCCACAGCAGTGTGTGGATGTCAGAGAACAATTTTGTGGAGTTGGTTCTCTCTCGTTACCTTTACATGGGCTCTGAGGAGAGCCAGTTAAACACTTTTACCCACTGAGCCATCTTGAAGGCCCCAGATCCTTCTGCTCCTCCTCCTCTTCTTCCTCCTCCTGTTCCTCTTCCTCCTCCTCCTCTCCCTCCTCCTCTTTTTCCTCTTCCTCCTCTTCCTTCTCCTCCTTTGAACCGTTCTTTTCAGGCACAATTATTTAAATTCTGTAGTCATGAATACTAGACCTCATTTCTTATTTTCATGGGAGATAAATGTACTAAAGACTTGAAGTGGTCAAAAGTTTTAGAGATCACCTCTGAATGATCACCTCTGAATGAGCGTGGTGTCACCCACGTGTAGTGCCAGCACTCTGGAGGCAGATACATGAGGGTATCAAACTCAAGCCCTAGTGCTTCTCATTAAAATCATTTCTCATAAAACAACAACAAAGCCCCCAACAAAACTAGTCCTCTTTCTCCATCCGGTTCTGTGTGTACTCAATATGTAGACTCCTTAAAACTGTGTTTTAGTCTGGTTTTCCTTTATTAGCTCCTAATGACATGTTTAATCTTATAATGCTTCTTTAGCAGTCATGCATAGATTTCATCATAGCTAGCTTATTGGTTTTTTTAAAAAATCAGTGGACTATCCTAATTACTTACTCTTTTCTAAAAGTTGGTTCATATCTGGGCAAAGGAGAAAATAGAATTGACAGTCTGATGACAACTGTGAGAGCCCTGGTGTAGGAACTCAATGGCTGCCACTCCACCTGGTCAAGGCTGCCTGGCTTCTGTAAACCTTTTAGTCAGCTTTCAAGTGAGAAGAGTAAGACTGTTAAGTTGACAATATTGAGAGGATCAAGAACAGTGGTGCCAAAGCACGTTAAAACTGTACAGTGCTATAAATGATAGAACAGTGCAGGGCATGTGGCTTAGTTGGTAGATTGCTCACCTAGCTGCATGAAGCCTTGTGTTCAGTCCCTGCCATTGCATAAACTAGACATGATGGCACATATGTGTCTGTAATCCCAGCAATCTGCAAATGGTACCAGAAGGGTTAAAAGTTCAATGTCATCCTCATCAGAGTTCAAAGCCAGCTTGGGATATAGGAGAGCCTGCCTCAAAAATGCAAACAAGAGGTGATTATTTACTGCTTTTTCTTTAGCCATCACTGTGAGATTTTTAAAAAGAAGAACTTATTATCATGTAGATGATCATTAAATCTGAGCATTTGAAAGTTGGAACCAGGAGAATCAGTAGTTCAAGGCCAGCCTAGGAGTCTCAAACAAAAACAAAATTATGTACACTTCAACATACATGCTCAAAGGTGAACTGTTGGCTATTATTTTAAGTAATTTGTGCATGGAGGACAGACAGAATCATCCCTGATATATCATGTGTTCCTTGGCTAGACTACATTTGAATCGTTTTCCAAACTGAGAGCTCTTTGCTATCTGCATCCCAGATCAGCAGCCATTTTTAAAATGAAGGTGGCTCACTGGAGGGGCTTTGAATGTTAGATCTGAGTCAGTCTGCCTTCATCTTAACCTCAGCTTTTTCATTTGCCAGCAAGATTCCCCAACAGAAATCATCTTGAACAAGATGCTACTTATCCCTTCTGGCCTCAGATTTTCATATAAAATGGTGTGACACTGTTTTCCTAGCCTTGTTAGATGGCACTGAGATCTAAGCCATCTGGTCATTGCTTTGGACTTCATGAATACTGCTATTACTATTTACTATTTATAATACTATTATCACTCTGTCCTGCTTCCCTCAGCCGTTCCCACAAGCCTAGTAGCCCTATAATGTATAGGACTTTTCTGCCGTATAATCAGTGAGCAGCTAAGTCAGGTGAAATACACATGTCTCTCTTTGTTGTACTAGTGAGGAAATGCATACTCAGACAGCATCATGTGAGCTGGACTAGACTAGAATATAGATTTCTGGTTTAACCAGGAGCATTCCCCATCAGCCTATACATACAAAACCACCAGAACACACACACACACACACACACACACACACACACACACACAGACACAGAAGCTAACCTTGTCTAAAACATCACAGATAAAAACAGAGTATAGCATTGTTTCATGTTGGATTGTATATATTTAAACCAATGAAAATGCACTATCCACACATGAAGGGTTTTTTTGTTCATTTTTGATTATTGTTTATGTTTGGTTTCTTATAAAAAAATTTTACCTCCAAATACAGCCTAGAAGACAGGTGTTTATTTGAATTTGTCTAGGCTTCTGAACAGATAAACAGAATCCCTTCTCATTCTTTTTCTTAACAAACCATTTGAGGAAGACATGCTAGCCTGCTGTGACCTTGATTACTATGGGTAGTAGACGTTGAGAAGCCAAGCAGGGGAAGAGGTAACAGAATTTGATCTAGGTTTGATCATTAATAATGTGAATGTGATAACAGTTGCTTGTATTCACACGATGTAATTGTCGTCTCTGAGGCTTACAGCCTCAGTGTGCTAACCTAGGCCTAATCCTGGAAGCTTCTAGCTCTAATTTAATCTAATGGAATCTAGACCTAGAGTGTTCCAGCCTCTGAGATTTACTGCTGAATAAACTCACCCTTTCTAGTTCTTTCTGAACTCTTGAAGGCTGATTCAACTCAGCTGTTCTAGCCCAAATTCCTCTCCATGATGACTAATTCATTCTCTTGACTTCTGAATTGCTCTGTGTGGCCTCATACTAACTCTGGCTGTATGTTCTAATCTTCTGGCTCCTTCTCATTCTCTGGCTCATTCTGTCTTCACCTGAGTCTAGCTTGTTTTCTCTCTGCAACATATATATATATATATATCTGTTCCAGTAAAACTGCCTCCTTCTCTCCCTCTGCCGTTCTCTCGTACGTAGCCTTTCTTTACTCTCTCATGAAAGTTGAGCATATCCTATTTTGTCAAATTTTTCTCTGACTCATCACTTTGTCTGCCACTCAATTAGATATCACTTTCAAACATGGGTGCTTCTTACTACAAACTAACTTTACCTCCATTGTTTGGGATTAAAGGTGTGTACTGAGTACAAGTCTGTATTCTAGCCAGAGAGATTAAGGGTAAGCCACACCATAACTAGAAACAACATGTTTTTTTTTTCCAGTAAATAACACAATTTCAGGGTTCACCGTGTGATCGAATAGCCTGCAACAGTAATCCCTCAGTTCCAAGTTGCGTACCTAAAGAAGACCTTACAAAGCAGTCTAGTATAGAGCTGGGAAGACAGCTCTGTTTTAAACTGCTTGCCCTACAAGCACCAGAGTTCAGATCCCCAGGACCTAGGTAAAGCCAGGCACAGCATTATGTGCCTGCAATCCTAGTGTTCTTACGGGGAGAAGGAGGCAGAAACAGGAGAACCCCTAGAAGCTGGGCATAGGCAGCAGCAAACAAAGAATCCTGGCTCAAACCAGGGGAAGGCAAGGACCAGCCTCTGAGGTTGTCCCTTTAACTTTCAAGTGTGTACAACACACACATACAAACACAAACACACACACACAGGCACACATACAGGCACACACATGCACACTCTCTAGTGAGGACCTCTGCAGGTGTAGCAATCCCTGCTAAGATTTCGGAGCCTTCCTCTTCTGCATGGCCCATGATACAGCACCAGGAAGCACAGGTCTTATTTTCTGTGGCTTCTTGCCACGCCCTCGGGAGCTTGCTCTAAGTCACACAGATCTTCAGTCTGTTGCCATCTACAGCAGTTCCCAAACAAACAACAAAGGAGGAAAGGATTTCTTCATATCCTCAGTCCTACTGACTTTGGTTCACTAACAAACAGAATGGTTGCCACCATTTGTTCTCAGTGAAGTTCAGTAACTCAGTGCTACTTGTTAGATGGGTGAGCTGTGGGCTAGAAACACTATATCTCTTCGCTCCGCTCCTCTCCTCCCCTCCCCTCCCCTCCCCTCC